CAATTTTGTCATATGGAGTATCAAATTTCCATACCCTATGAGTTACATTTCCGAAATAAATTAACAAAATGAAAATTTAAATTAAAAGTAGTATATTCACCTACAATAGGAACCTTGTAACTTAATACACTTACGGTTTCAAGTTATTAGTATAATTTTTTTTTATTTCGTTTTTCCGTTTTGTATCCAGTTAACTATACCAAGTATGATGACATATTTGAGATACACGATTCTTATAACTTCATTTAAATAACACAATAAGATTAAACAATTTTTTTTATTAAAAGGATAAAAAACGAAATGAACTCATAAATTTAATAACAACAAAAACAAATCAAATAATATTTAAATATTTTTTTTTAACTTGTTTAACAAGTTTATCCATTAAAAATTGTCAAACGTTTTTTTTTTATCAAATTAAAATAAATTTAAAGTAAATAAGTAGAACGATAACATAGATAGAATTCCAACATTTTTTTTTTTTAAATATTATGAATCATACCTTAAACAATTTAATTTTACAATATATCACACATTTTTAGTGTAACCTGTTTGAAAGACAACTTATTGTGTACTTTAATTGTAGTATTATTTTATTAAAATTTGAGAGAGAGGACGGACATTAACATGCTTTTTTAATTTCTTACAAGTTAATGTTTTTCTTTAACAAATTGATTTTGATTTCCTGTTTTTGTAATCAAAATATAATAGAAGGAAATTCAATGTACGAGTATAATAGGAATTTTAAATCTTAAAGAATTCGTTTTCATCGTTCCTTTTAACCCAGAAGAGATGATATAAAGGAAGAGATGAGATCAGTTTGTAAGTGGAATACTAATTTTGTTATGCAAGTGGAAAAGCTATTATATATTATTAACTTACTTGAAACTATATTTACTAATTACTGATTACCAGTTAGTACTTATGAACTACTAGTTAATACTACCTACTAATCATTAGTTACTAGTTACTATTTGCCAGTTATTGATTACTATTTACCAGCTACGCGAGTTACTAATTACTAATAATAGTTACTAGTCATTAACTGCTATTGTCTAGTTACTAGTTACTAAATACTATCAACTATTTATTAGTTTCTAGTTATTGGTTGTTAGTTTTCAATTACATGTGTTGCTACTTGATTGTTAATAGTTACTAAACATACTAGTTACCCAGTTACTAATTAGTAATTTTCAGGTTCATTTAGTGGGTACTGTTTTGAAAACCTCTCTTAAAGTGAGACAGATTTGCTAGTACTGGCTGGCTTTAAAATTAATATTATTTTAATATTAATTTTAAAGTGAAAAGTTTATAATTATTAAATCATAAAAAATAAAATTATTTCTTTTCAACTATTATTACTTATACAATAACTATAAAAGTGTAATTGTGTATATATAAAAAAAATAATCTTTCTATTCTAATGAAATAAAACATCCAATTTAAAACAGCATATGACTGATTATACTACCTACTTACATATCAGATTAATCAAATTTGACTAATACATACATTCATTTTAAAAAAACCTAGCAATTTTAAAATTGAAATGTTGTTAGTCAAATCACACTCTTCATGTAAAATATCTGATGCAATAAACTTTTACATATATATGTAGGTACATAGTACATATCGCATTTTCTATTTTTATATCCAACTTATCATCTTCAAAATCATTCCTGTTAATCATACATCAGATTAAATCATTATTAAAATAAATTAAATCTAACAGGAAGAAAAGCAATCAAATCCAGTTTTTTTTTAATAGCTTTTTTAATAATAAAAAAAATATTTACCAGTTTTGCTTATCGTTCTTTTTTTTTTCTATTCCTATTTCTATTTTTATGCTAAATTTAAATTTATAAGATGAAATGAAATTGAAATGAAAATTATGATTTTTTAAAAACTGAAGTGAAAAATTAAAAAAATTCACGCAACACATCATTACAAATTGACGGTGTTCATTTTAGTTCAAGATGAACGATTGAATGGAGTGAATAAATGAATGGTTGAATAAATTTAATTTTTGTTATAGAGTTGGTACATATTTATTCTATTATATATAGTAGAGTTTATAAACAATAATTTTAAATCTGTAATAGGTTATTGTAGGTTAAGTATTTTTTTTTTTTTTTTGCAAATTTTTATGAGTGGGTAACTAAATTTGTTCATGACTTCTAATATGATTTTATGGTAATCAGTTTGAATACAATATTCAAATTATGTAAATTTTTTAATTTATTAAACTTTTCAGTAGTTTTTTTTAAGCTTATTTTATTATAAGTACGTTTCTTATGCTAGATTTTTTGTATTTTCATATTAAGGAGTGTTATTTTAATTATAAAATTTTAGAATCATCTTTAAAACGCTGTCTATTTAAATAAAATCAATATGATAAAATGTTAGTTTAAAGATTATTTCAAGAATAATTAAAAAATTAAATTAATTTAACTAAAAAATAAAACGTATTAATTAAAACTGAGAAGAATTGTGAGCCGAAATTCGAAAATTTTTGGTTGTTCTTTTATTTTTGTAAACGTTTTTTGAACGATATGAGTTTTCTTTTACTCATAAAATTACATTTTATTCATAAATTATACAAAAAAATTAGAATTAAATGTATTAATAATATTTCATAGAACAAGCTAAATTGCACAAATATAATAACACCGATTTTTATAATTTGTGCAAATATAGGGGACTGATAGTGAATTAATGCTAGTGTTATAATAAATTTATATGGCATTTTTTAATGTATTTTGCATAATAATACTTGTACCTTGTAATACATCTGCATAATTCATAGCAGCTTCATTATTTTACGTAGTTGTGCTATATATTGGCAAATCTCGAGAACAACATTTTTTAAATTGATTTGATTTATGGCAAAATTTATGCTCGAAAAATTGTATCTGATGAAAATCCAATGTCATATTTTATACTTGACAGTTTATGATAATAATGATAGCGAAATAATGTCAAAGATGACATATGATAACTTTAAAGATAAATTTTTTTTACATGATTACCTTTGTTCTTTTAACGTCATAAGTAATAAAATAACATCTTGTATATTACCTGAAATTAAAAAAAAATATTTGATTTTAATAAAATAATTACTCAGTTTTTTAAATAAAATTTATGTATATTTAAATATGATTGAAAATTTTATTGAGTCTCAGAGTAAATTCAAGAAATATTAGTCTATAATTATCAAAAATTAAACACATTAAAAAAGAATATGACAATAATTATATTGCTACGTCAGTTCACTACTACGCAGTTATATCAAATAGTTCCATAAAAAATCTGTTTTCTTTCAAATACAAATTTCTTTAAAATATTGTGGATTCTTTCTTTTGCTTCTTCTAACCACAGATGCATAAAATATAAAAAGAACTTTTAATTTTCATAATTAATTTGACAAAATTTAAGGTGCGATCAAATTGAATGAATCATTTAATAACTATTAATTACTTTTAAAATATTTTGTAGTTAAAAATTAATATAGAATTGTTATGATGATAAATTATACAACATGTATTTTTAGGGCAGTGTAGGTGGCGTTAATGTAAATTTCATATTAATTTTATATTATAGACAAAACAAAGTATAAGAACATAATTATGTAATTCAAATTTCAAATAAACTTTATTATGTATTAAAAAATACATTAGGTGTTAAAATTAAGCACAGCTGCAATACGTATATTATGTAAATCCAACACACTTTTGAAGAGTTTTACAAGCGAATAAATCAGTAATATTTACATATATTAACAAAATAATCACAGGCTCTTCTTTAAAAAGTATTAAAAAATATTTCATTATTAAAATGAAAATCTTGAAGAAAATTTCAATGAAATAAAACTTTATAATAAAATCGATGAATGAGATATAGATTTGCATATTTACTTCAATTTATTGAAGTAAATTATTTCCACAAACATGCACTCATTAGAAGTAAAATACGCTATCATATAGAATTCATATACACAAACAAAATTTATTTATGTATGATTTCTTATGCAAAACGGTAAGTCATAAAAAATCGGTTCAGTTATCAAACCGAAGAACGTTCGAATATGGACATGGAATATTAAATGCGTGATTATGTAGGCTTCATGCGATTTTCGTAAATATTAGCCTAGCGCGAATGTGGTTTGTGTTAAAATAACCATATTTTCTATTTTGAATTGTGGTTACTGTAGTGTACAAAAAAAAATAATAAAAACATTAAACATTTTTAATAAACTTATCATTTCGAATTTTTATGTATAACAATATGGAATATTTGCAAAAACTTTCTATACTAATAACTGTAATTATGTGTGCTGCAGTTTACCGAGTAAGTCAAAATAAAATAATGTTTAATAGACTCATTACAGTACCAAGTCACCTTTTTCTTACGTTATTTTTTTTCTAAGTCAAACAACATCTGTGACATTTAAAATCATAAAATTCAATTTGATATTTTATTAAGTGTTATATTTTTTTACATAAATTTTTTTTTTACAGGATCCGTTCCTCAGGTGCATAAGATCACCTTGCCCAGGGTCAGATTCACCAAATCTATTTACCAAATATATTTGAATGTAAAAAGCGCATCTATCAAATTTTTCTATAAAACAAAGTTATTTTGTTTTTTTTTCTTTCTTTTGTATTCATAAATGTTACATTATGAGTAAATAAATAAAGCATTTGAAAATTTAAAAAATGAATGTAGTTGAATTTATTTACTAACTTTCACATATCACTTTGAATTACAATTATATTTTCATACATATATAAGTAGATCGCATAAATTTATAGCTAATATGAATGTACCTATGTAAACATACCTCGCATAATTTATACCTGTATGTTTTACTATAATTTTGTGAGACAATACAAGACGTCTTTTAAAAAGGTTTTATAACTAAGGGCATAATAGCACATAATGGTAAAACACTTAAAGTATATAACACAAAATCAATTATTTCAAGTAAAACAAAATTTTTATTATATTAAAGCATCGCCATTAATAATAGGAACTTCTTGATTGACATTTCGTGTATTAATTAAATTTAACAAAGAATTTTGATCGCTTGTTGCGTTTGTCAATAAACTTGACATAGTAGATGACGTTACATCATTCTGAATAGGTTTTCCACCAGATAAAGAGTTTTGATGTACATTGAAATATCTATGACGACGATCTGAACTTACGATATTAATACCACTCGGGCTAAAGTGTACAAAACCTCTTCCAGTATTTCTATCCGAATGTATAATGTTAACACTACAAGCTGTTACAGTAAACTGAAATATACATATATTTTAGTATTTTACAAATATTCAAATTATATAAATTTCATTTTGTTTTGACACTATATTTACCTGAAATAAAACAGTTACAAGTGTCAATAAAGCGAAAATTATTTTTGTATTTAACATTATCGTTGTGTAAATTTTTTTTTGACTAACTTTAACTCTTGATTTAAAAATAATGATACAGCTAAACTAAATTCACATTTTATATGTTCTTCAAATTAAATGTATAGTGAATTTTATAAACAAAATTTTGAATTAATTTAACCTCAAAAATTTTCCATAATTAAAAATCAAGCTCTTAGTAATATAAGTGAGTTTATTTTGAGTTTAATTGAAATTATTTAAATTCTTTAAGAGTTTTATGAGAATTAACATACAAAATGCGATTATAATTTTTGACATAAGTAGAATAAGTGCTTGGTTTTTTGTGGTTTGATTTCTGACACACGCAAGTCAAAAACGTCATGAATACAATGAGCAGACGAGTGACAATTTTGCATATACAATTGAAATTCGAAAGCATTTCCATAAATTGAAAATTTTGATTTCAACAAGATTTCACGCCACTTTTCATTAAAATTAAAAAACGATAGCGATATAATGTTTTGATATATCAAATGTGGATTCGATCTTTATCAATTTAATTAAAATTTTATATCTGAGTTTCCCAACAGATTTAAATCACTTAATCAAGTAAATATGTATTATAATAACAATTGTTAGGCTAATAAGTATAGTTTTAGTAAAATTTGTAAATAGCATTAAAAACTACACATTGCGGTTACCAGATCAAATTTAATTAGGGCTATGTACATGTAAATAAAATATGAATGTAAGGAAATGGGAATGATTGAAAGACTGTTTTCAAATATGTAAATGCTTATTTAATATTGTCATGAAAACCATACCATATAGAACATATCACAAACTTGTACTAGATCATGTTGATAAGCCTACAATTCACAAGTTTTATTGTCTTATTCTTTTATTTAATTAAATTTTCTCATTATCATTTTTAATTTTCAGTATCTGCATAATTAATAATATTAACAGAGCTTGGAAAACCTGGTATTCTGGAAGAATAATGTATTGAATGTGTGTGATTAATATTCTTGTTTGTGTTAATAATGTTAACATTACAGGCTTCCAAGATCTTAAATTGAGAAAAGAAAATTGAAAATGAAAGTAAGTACGAAAGAAATTATAAATTTTTACCTGTAGCATTAAAATTGTAATTAAAAACAAAATTGATTTTAGTTTATTTAAAAACATTATCGAAACAAAAGTGTGGACAAACTTTAATTCCAAGTTCTTAATTTATACTAGCTTCAAAATTATAACAAATAATTTAAAATTAAAATATTTATTCTAATAAAATACCAGACCGCAAAATAAATTTTTGGAATTAATCAAAAATTTGTTTAAATTTATGTTTTAAATTGAGGTTGAAATAAAGATTTTGAAATTTGCAAAATTTAAAAAAAAAACCAAGAATACTTTGCTTGTCGATTAATATTAAATTTATTTTTTTCCAGTAATTATTGAACCACCAGGTCCCGATAAAACGCTACCACTACCACCACTACTTATAAAACCACCAGGTCCAGATAATATGCTACCGCCACCACCACTAGATATAAAACCGCCAGGTCCTGACAATACGGTTCTACCACTACAAGCATTACTTAACTAAAAAAAATTTTTTTCAGAAAATCAAATTGGAAAATGCAATATTTTACCTGACAGCCTATTAAGGTGTAAACAAAAAAAATGAGAAAGGCTCTTAAAGAAAACATTTTTTTCAGATTTAACACTTCAGATCGGTTTTGATATTGCAACTACATTACAATTTTCTGCTTTTGGTTCTTTTTATATTAATTTTTTTATAAATTGCATTGAATATTTTAAAATAATCCTATAATATATTCCATAACATTTTTATGTTTCAGAATTTTAATATATTTGAAGCAAATGCAATCGAACATAATTGTGTTTGTATTGTATAATTTCATCAAGTTATAGGTTGCAAGCATTCTCTTTATGCGAAATTCAAAATTATTTTACATATTTAAAACATTGACTCAATTTAAAAGTACACGGATAGAAAAATTCAAGTTGTTGTTTCGAAGGTAAGATTTACATATTTAATTTGGTTTTCACATTACATCATAAGACTGATGTCCGGAAAACACTTATCATAAAAAACTGAAATGTTTTGTGAAAAAATATTTATTGCACATGTTAGCCATTTTTCGGCCAACGTATTTAAACCTCATAAATTTCAAATATTTTGAAAATTATGGAAAGGACAACAAAATTCTTTATTTTAAAACTAAATTTAAAAAAAGTTGTCCTATAATTTATGTATTAACCCCATAATTTTCAGTTTATTAGGGAATTTCGGTCAGTTTCCTATAAAAAAAAAATTTTTTTAAGAGAAACACTATTAGTTTTTTTTGATTAACATTAAATTTATTTTTTTCCAGTTATTATTGATCCGCTAGGTCCAGATATTACGGTACCGCCTCTACCAGTTCTTATAAAACCACTAGGTCCCGATATTACACTACCCCCAGGACCGCTAGCTATGAAACCTCCGGACCAAGCATGATTTACCTGAGCAAATTTTTTTTGTTTTTTAAATGAATTACACAAAATGGCAATATTTTACCTGGCAACAAATTACACTGTAAACAAAGAGAATAAGAAAAGCTTTTAGAGAAAACATTTTTTCCAAATTTTTTACACTTAAATGGTCGACTTAAAAATTGTAACTACAGTAAAATGGTACGCATTTGTTCCTATTTATATTGATTTTTTTTTTATTAAATTGTATTGAATATGTATTTCAAAATAATCTTATAATATATTCCATAAATATTTCACGTTTCAGAATTTTAATATAGTTAAAGCAAGTAAAGTCGAAAATTATTGTATTTGTATTCACAATCATATGGATAAATGATAGATTGAAATAATGTTTTTTATGTATGAGCAATTCAAAATCATTTTCACCATATTCAATAAAAATTTTGTATTAAATTTGATTTTATTTAAGGTATTTTAGGATGACGGAACATAAGACAAAAAAAAAAAGACGACAATTTCATACAAAACTCTATTGATTCTGAGGTGACACAGAATAGAAAATATAATTCAACCTTATTAAAAGTTCATAATTGTTATAATTATCAATGAGTATTATAAATCAAATGCACTAAATAATAAAAGAGGTCATTTATTCATCAAAATATTTATGTATGTATATTCGACTATACTTAATATTTTACAATATTTTTAGTTTCAAATAAAACATTTTCATCGTTTCTTTTTTCAATTTAAATTTTATTTTTCTTCTTCTTCTTTTGTAGAAATTATTCCACCACCAGGACCACCAGTAACTAGTACGGCACCTCCCCCACTACTGGAGTATATTGATGCACCATGTGGGCCACCACTCACAATGTTAGTTTCACCTTTACAAGCTTCAGAGATCTTTCAAAAAAAAAATTAGCTTCATTCGTTGACCATTATTGAAATTTTTCCATATAAAAGCTCATTACCTTGGTATTACTAAATACTGCTAAAATCAAGAAAATATAGAAAACCCTTAAAGCAAACATTTTTCCTTAATAAATGTTCCTTCAGTTAACAACTCAAAAAATGTAACTACAATAATTTCTAATAGGCTCATCTCTTTATATAACAATTCTCTTCTTCTGTATAAATTTCAATTGCATACCAGTAGTAAATTAGAAAAATTAATTTTTATTGTAGTTGCATTTATTGTTTGTCAACAAAAAACCGCATTTTAAATCTATTTAATAAACTTGTCACGTTATCAAATAAATAATGTAAAATAAAAGCAATGCAGTTGGTTGGATCGTTTTTTAATTAAGGAAAGAACAACAAATTTGCATTAGCACAAAAATATTCAAACGAATTTCTCACAACATAATCAAGTGCAAGGGAAAATGAAACTTATATCAGTGCCGTTGATGCAACAGTTGCCTAATTATTCAAATTTCAGAATAAAATTCTAATTATTCTAATAATTCGATTTAACTTTCTTTCATCAACGAAACTTTTTTAGAATCTTTATTTTTTGAAAAAAAATTTACAAAAAGCCATTTAAAGATATTTGCTAATTTTTGCAATAAAAATTTCAATATCATTAATCATAAATTATGTAAGATTTTGGAATTTTCGATGTTGATTTTGCTTTATATACATTTCAAAAAAAAATAGTAAAATTATCCAATTTCTCTATCCAACATTTAAATTATTGTTAACACCGAAACCATTTGAAATAGGTACTGTATTTTCAGCATCGAAACCGTTTGATAATAACACATTTCTTCCATTATTTCTACGTTCTGTCCCTCCTCCTGACACTAATATATTGCCTCCTCCAAATCCATTTGAATATAAAACACTGCTACCAGAACCACCAGCATTATTTAGATTATTATTTGCACCAAATCCATAAGTTGTTTGTGTATACACGTGTCTCGTACCATCAGGTCCAGTCACGACATTAGTGTTTGTATTTTTACATGCTTCTAAAATCTTTAAAATTTAAATTCAATAAATTTACTATTTTATGAGTATGTGTAAAAAATTCAATGTGTAATTTACCTGTAAAGCAAACAATAAAGGGATTAAAATAACAAATAAGTTGTGAACAAAACGCATTTCTCTTAAAGTGGTTTCTTTATTTTCTAGCTTTATTCACAACTGCAACATAATACAAAGAACATTTTCTTTTTTATATGCAAAATAACTACAGTTATCTTTTAGAATGCACTTGACACGTGATTTTTATATAAAACCGCATTTGAATATTTTAGATACGAATAAAAACCAATACCAAAGGCTTGGAAATCAACAACTGTATAACAAAATTCGTGACATGAATTCAATTAAATATAAAAATTTTAAAAATTTAACAAGCTCGAAGGCATGACAAAAAGTCTCTGAGATGAACTCACAAATTTGACAAACAAAAAAATGTTTCTTCTTTTTAACTAAAAAAATTCAAGATTTCCATAATTTTTCCTTTTTTGGCCAAATATTCAAAAATTTTCGTAAAATTTTTTATTCACAATTTTCAAAAAACAAAATTTAATCATGTTCAGAACGCACATGTTAAGAATTTCTCTAAATTTTATTTGCAAATATTTTTGAAAAAGAAAACAGCTTATTTTTATCTTATTTACAAATGTTTATTAAGCCTTCTCTGCTATGGGTATATTTAAGTCAATTAACCCCTAAAACCACCATCATTATTAAAATTTCGACCGTCATTAGCACGTGTAAAACCATCGTCCCCTCTAATATCATTGTTGATTCCAATGGGAGCTATACCAGGTACACTTCTATCTCTATCTGCTGGACCTCGGCCACCGCTAACTAATATATTAGTTCCTCCATCAGAATATACATAGCTATCTGGTCCACCGGTATTTACTATATTGTTTCGTGCTTTACAAGCTTCACAAACCTTAAATAATAAAATTTCTGTATTTACTTAGCTAAATTTTTTTTTGGTTTACCAATATTCACCTGACAGATCATTAAAACAAAAACCAATGCGATAAAAGAAATTGTTCCTTTACGGAAACTCATTTTTGCTTAAAAATCACACCTTTTTTCAATGAAATTAATAATGCAACTTATTAAAATTTAATGCAGTTTTTTCCTTTTATACAAGATATTTTCAATTTTTAATAATACTTCCTATTATAATGCATTTTATTATTCCACTAATAAATTTTAAACCACAATTTGAATTTTACAATAAACTGATTGTAAAATGTCTTAAAACGAAAACATGAAAAGAGACAGAGAGTCGGATAATTAAAAATGCAATCGAAATTGTTTTAAAAAATCAAAGCAAAAACCAAATTGAATGAACTTTCGAAAAAGAGAAATCAAGACTTATTTTAAAAAAACTTGAAATCTATAACCATCCGTTCTGAATTTCTTTTTAGGAATCAGGCATACCCTAAAAGATCTGCGATCTGGGACTATTTCGTAACAAATTACGTCAATCTCTATATACGTCTGTGTCGAAGGTAGTGAGACAGTAGTTCATTACTTTTTTATTTTGGCAATTAATGATATGAAAATAAACAATTCAAAATTTAAGAAAAAAAAATAGCACCCAAAGTGAAACTGATTATTTTGATATTAGTCTCTCACAAAATTATTCATTGAAATCAAAAAGAATCGTCAAGTTAAAAGTTGAGATAGAAAACCCAAGAAAGTCTTTTTTCAAAACGCATCATAAATTCAAAAGGTTTGACAATTTAACTTGTCAGTGAAAAGCCATAATTTTTCCATGTATACAAATTTATAGAAATACTTCCATTTCCCGATTCCCAAAATCTAAGATTATCTACTTAAAATTTAATATGAAAAATCTAAACTATCAGATTCAAATCAAAAAATCCAGAATTATCCACTGCAATACAAACTACGACACTACTTATTTTCCAATTTTGATTTTTTAAATGTTTATTTTGGCTGCAAATATTTAAAGCAAGCAGCAAAAAAAGGTCGGGGAACTGCAATTTTTCCACACTGTAGGTTGTACTTTTTACTTTAATAAATTTAATTATTGTTAACTGAAAAAGTATATCAAAAAATTTTGTTTATATTTTTCTCATTTAATTTATTGTTGCAAATCAAAATAATTAAAACCAATAATATTTTATTTAAAAAATATACTTTTAATTAATTTTTTTTGTTGTTTTCAAGTCCGTAAAATCTCGTTCAGCGCACAAAACTCAAAAATTTAATATTGGGCTATGTAAGCACCTTCACCATTTGGACCACCACCATGTAAAACATTATTTTTTCTTGGACAAGCTTCAGATAGACTGACAAACTACAAAATAATTTAATTTTAATTAAAAACATTTCGGTAAATTTAATTATTATTGAATTACCTGTGCTATTGCAATAGCAATAAGCATAATACCAATCATAAATTTTTGACGGAACATTTTTTTCTTTTTGTTATTTTAATTTAAACTTTTACAATAAGTTCTTTAATCATAAATTTAAAGAATGCAACTGCATTAAAACATTGAACATTTTCACCTTTTTATATAATTTTTTTTTTATGCAAATAATAGTGATTTATTGTTGACCAATGTAAAATATAGTAACGTATACAAACGTATGTACATATATGTAAATATATAAATGTGCTTGCAAGTTGTTTGCATGCAAAGAATTGCATAATTTTAATACAAAATATTAGAATTCAACAATTTTTTTTAACATCTATATCGAACATGTTTATAAAAGTAATCGTGTTCTAGAACTCTCCCTCAGATCACAAAGAATAACTCATAAAACGAAGCAGTCACATAGCTATTTTAGTGAGATAAAAGGCATTTCACAAGTATATATAGATTTATCATTTTATCTAAGTCTAATTCTTCCGCAAGATTTAATCATCAAACATTGTTCATGTATTTTGTTTGAAAATAGTAAGTAAATCAACCATTTAGATATGAAGCTTTTAAACTTTCTTTTAATCAAACAAAATATATTAGCAGTGATTCGTGATCCTTCACTTAATAATATCTTAATTAATAAAATTGCACTTGATTTAGTTGATCTATAAAATCATTAATCACGATTGCATATGAAATTTATTTAATCATAAAACATAAAAGTTATGGAATGTTTTTATTACCATTAAAAATTCTATAGAGGTTTACTTGAGTACAATATAATTTTATTTAAAAATTCAGATTTTGAATTTATGTATTTCACGACATTTTACTTGGTTTCACATTAAAAATTAATATTCTTGACAATATTTTGAATTATTGCAAATAGAAATAAGAAAATGTATGAAATATTTATTTTAAACCATACTGAAAAGATTTACATAATTGTAGAATAAATTTATAATTTATGTAAATTTGAAACTAAAAAATGAAAATTTTTAAAAATATTATTTAATATTTTAAAAAATTAGATTAAAAGTTAAAAAGCAAAAAAAAAAAACAAATGTTTGATTGAAATGTTATGAACGTCCACTTAATCTTTCTTATCTTAATCTTGCTTTAAATTTAGCATATGTAACATCCCTATACATATATAACATCCCAACATAATATTATTGAAAGTAAAGAATTATTTGATAGAAAGAAGCAATCTCAACTATCCATCAGAATATACATGGCTACCTGGCCCACCGGAAAACCTAAAAACTAAAACAATAATTTTGAACAATTTTAAAAGCTACAATTTCAAATTTTAGAAAAAATCTTAAACAGGGAAGCTTACATTTTTTTACATTCATTTATGTACAAATAATTTTATTTTATTTTACAATACAAAATAAATTTTTACGTATTGTTCCCCAACATAAAATAAAATTAATATTTTAATAAATTAATAAATTATGTAAAATTATTTTACCTGAATTGATTTAAAACCTCAAAATACGGGAACAAAATTAATTCCATTAATTTATTCTACTTTATTCGTTAAAAAAAAACATTAGAAACCACGAATTTTTATTATCAAAAATGTTATTTTGGCAGGATATATAAAGACAAATTTGGCAGTATTTTTCAGCAGTTTACTACAATCCAATTGCAGTAAAAGAAAAACAATTTAAGCTCTTCCTTTTTTTCATTAAAATAAAAAACCAAAACTTTACAAAATGTTGTTCATCAAAAAAGCAGTAATGATTTTTGTTGTCATTTTAGTAGCTGCTGAGGTAAGAAATCTAAAAATTTTGAAATTCATAAAACATTAAATTATTTTTAAAAATATTTTATCTTTTTAATAAAAATATTTAGCTTGCTCAAGGTTGTTGTGTTATTAACAGCTGCAAACGCAAGAAGTAAACCAAAACCAAAAAATATTACCGAAAAAAAAAAGAGTTCAAAATATGCAGATAAAACAATGCAAATAGTAATTTAATTAAATAATAAATATATTTATTTTTTAGAAAAAGATGGTCACATAAATAAAATTTATATAGAATATTGTAAAAAAAATGACTTTTTTACTTTAAAATTTTCAGTTTCATTGGTTTTTAAGGAAAGGATTTGCTTCGAAAGAAAAAACTCTAATAATGACAATATATATGTATATACTTAAATACAAAATTTAGGATTTTGAAAAACTTTCGTTATTATCAATAGTGATCTCTAACGTTCTTCAGATTTCAGCACCTAGTTTGAAGCACAAAGATATCCCTTTAATTTTTATATATAAAACAAAATATCATAGTCCAATATTCTTCTTCGTAATACCATATTATTAATGCAACAGTGTTTTAGAATTTTTTACCTTAAAATAGAAAATGTACAAAATCGCTATGAATAGCAAACCATTTCTTTTTCAACTTGAAATTCATACTGTCAACAAGACACAGTTGAGATGCATGTAATCAAAAATTTCATTTACTTAAAATAAAGAAAAATTTATTCAGTTGAAACGAAAATATTCCTAAATTTTAGTGCAAAATAAATTGTCGCAAATAATTTTCTAAAATTGTTCTACTTATAAATGTATGTATATACATACTTACACACATGTTAATGAATATAGGTAGGTATACGTACATTATCCTGTATCTTTTCTGATCACGCACCGAAATCAGATCACAAACCATTTATGTACATATGTATGTTTGTACATATACCAGTAGATGTTATATTAAAATTCTTCTAAAACAGAAAATATTTTAAAATTTCAAATTTAAGACACAAAAGAATAACGCCGGTGAAAAGAATACAGAACTCACCATTCAAAAATTACAGAAATATTGATTTTCTTTATACAAACTAAATATAAGCTTCTTCTAATACTTCAATTTCGTAAATAGCAACATAAACTTTGTTTTTCTGATTTAAAAAATTGAAGAAATTATGAAAAAAAAAATGAAGAAATTATGAAAAAAATTGAATTAAATTTAGAGAAATATTAATTCCTTGTAATTAAACTTATTTATTGAGGCAGTAGTTCGTTGTTACAAAATTGACAGTAGTTACTTTATTACAAAAATTTGACAACATAAACTTAATAAACTGTCATTTCATATCAAATATCTTCATGTAATGCTGTCCATCCACTATTCAACTTGATCCCTCGAACTTGACAACTACAAAACATTGCAAGTTTTCAACATTTTAAATCGTTAGTGGACTAGTTGGTCAACTATTAAATTGTTGGGTTATCAAATTTTGATGATTGAAACCTGGTTTAACAGAATATTAAAAAATTTTAATTCTTGTGGGTTTAATTTTGTATGTTGTATAAGAGCACAACTGTAGTTTTGGAAAAATTGAAATAATGTTGAAGTGTAAGCGGTTGTGTTGACCGAGGGTGTTTTTCAACGTGTTCGTTCGGAAACTTCAAGTTTTTCAATCATTATTCTTCATAAATTAATCAAATGTTTTACATTGGAGGAAGTTAAAAATTGGCCATTGGAGTTTTAAGAAATTGTAAAAACGATAGAGTTGAAAAGTTAAATGCACAAATTGAATACTGCGCAATAAAACTGTGGTTTTCGGGAGTACAGAAGTACACATTGTTATGAAAGAATTTGAATAAAATTTAATTTCTTCTTCACTATAGAAATTTAAAAAAACTTGTTATAAAATTTTATTGAGATGAAAATGTCCGAATAAAAC